GAATGTATATGCAGAGCCTGATCACCATTTTTCTCTTTTTTGGGATTGTAGCCAACCAAACGATACTAAACCTTTTATTCTTTTGTATTGAGTATTTTCTATACAACACTTTGCATGTGGTCACTTTTTTTCATGTCTGTTCTTTGTCTAGATAAGATCACGGTTAAAAAATTTAAGATAAAATCTTTGTTATAAAAGTTAATCTTATAAGGCTCATATTAGTAATATTTAGAACTAAATTACAGGTTTTTAAAATCAACATTTTTATTTCTTTTAAAATTAGTACTTTTATTTCTCTTCTTTACATTTCTGCATAGCCTTCAGTCTAAGTTTAAAATGATCATAAAATACATTAAAATATCCTTGCATATTAATAAGGCTCCAAGATTAGGATTTCTTAGATAATTGCATACCTATTCCTTATTCCGAGGAATGTATTTCTTGCTTTCTAACCTAACTAGCCCAACATGTATTTTATAAGATTAGGTGGCTATCTAGAGTAGTGTAGGAAGGCTTTCCCAATCTAGCGGGATTGTAAGCCCTTTATGGGGCGACACAACTTTGTAGCTGAGTTGCTCATTATTTCTTCTTTCTGTATATGCTTTTGGTCCATACATTTGGTATGTATAATCCTCACTCAATTTTTTAGATAGAGTCGTATGAGCTTAGTCATTTCTTTCTTTTGAATTTGCATCCATTGGATTGCTTCAGATGGTGCAACATATGAGTTAAGTGATCCTTAACTGATTTAGGTTGAATACCTTCACGATTTGATCGATTTGGGGTCCCAATAGTCTTAGACGATGGGCCCACGTTGCCCTAACCAAGCTAACTCTAGCTGTCTTGTTTTTTCTCCGACCTTCTTGTTGTTTTACCCTCGTTGAGCACAGTCATTTCCTTTATCGAGTCTTTTGTATTTGAGTGTAGTGAGCCCTCTCATCTAGGTCATGGCCATCCATCAGGTTACAGTGATTCACCCTTTGCTTGGGATCCTAGTTCTGAACCGACTACTATAAGATTTTCCCTATATTGGGATTGCCAAAAGTCTCCTTGGCTACATATGTTTCATGGCATTTTAGGCAAAAATAACACCTTTTATTGTGAGTTTTTTCTAAGTATCCTCTGAAATATAATTGACCACGAGTATACATCATGGTAAGAGGTCTTTTTGAACCCCAAACAAAATAAATTTAATTTTATTATTTTGGGTTTTTTATAAAGGTTTATTTATATGGACTTTCGTGTTTATTCTCTCAGGCAGATAAGGGTATGTTTTACTTTGTACCGTTTTTCTCCAGTTTATGCTACGATGATTTTTTCAATACTAAATATTTTTGTAGCTACAAATGTTTAATTTTCTTTGTTTTTATCCATTTTTTAGCATTTCATTTCTTTGTTTGCTTTTCTAAACGAGATTAACCTAGAAAGAGGGTTCTAAAAAAGAATGAACACTGAGAAGATCATTTTTTATCAGATAAAATGGGGTGCAAACAATGAGCCACATGAGGAGTGGTAGATTAGTTGAATGTGTCCTTGAGAGGTAAGGATAAAGGAAAATTCACATTTGACACTTGTACTTGTCCGAACAATTGAGGTGGTATATTAAATAATATCAATAATCTTTTCCCTTCCAAGCAAACTCATTGACATCTTTCTTGTTGCATTCACTGAAAAGTGAAGATTGAGAGATCATCAATTAAAAAATTTTCAAAGCAACCTCAATAAGTTAATGTTAGAAATCTTTTATCAAAGGACATCTATTAGAGGCTAAAGTATGAGAACTGTAGCATTTGACTTTGCTAGTCGGTAACATAAGAGCTCACTTAATAGTCATATGCATAGTATGTTCACTCAAAGTTGTTTACATAAGACTCTCTAAAGTAACAATTTTTAATAAAGAAAATTGATTAGTTATACCTTTAAGATGACTTGCTATTGCTCAAGTCATCTCAATAGAGGGTCTATGTCATTTGTTAGTTCCATTTATAAGTAAAAAAAAAATTCATAAAATATTGTTTCTATTGTGTTCTTTGCTTTTTTATCACTCGAGCCAGATCCACAAAGTTGACAACTTTACTCATTGTGGGAGCACCTAGTGTGAGATGATTTATAAATATCGTGGCAATGTGTTTCTAACTGGGATCAAGATCAAAATCCATCCTTGTTTTACTAATGCCACCCTTCCCTAACATTTTAACCCTCCTCTAAATAGTTTAACTTGACCTTTGCACTTCATCCTTCTCTTTAACACATTTATGCTCGTGAAGAATGCTTTCACGTAACTCATAATTCCTTTTTTTTTCTTGGAGATAAGTCAACCAATAAAGCAAATATGATAGCCCTTGAGTAGTTTAGAGGAAGAATTTTATTCACATTTATAGATTTCCATGATCAATTTCATATAGATGTTACATCAACACCATTATTAAAGTAGTAAATAGCAGTGTTGCTCCAGATTCATAAATAAAATAAGATAGTGCTTTTTTCTTTTATTAACTCACAAAAAACAATAAATATCTAATCTATTTTTTTTTTTGTCGTTGACTCAAGTCATTTTCTAAATATAGAAAAAAATGAAGACTTAGAGTTATATCTAACTATGTAGTTTTGGATAAATCTGAAACTTAAAAACACTTAGTAAACACACTGGGAATTACTATTTATAGCTTTCAATGTCACTCACCTAAGCACGAAAAGGCACTTTCCTAAACTCAAAAGGCCCTCAACCATCTTCAAGGACACTCGTCTAAGGCACCAAAAACCTCTCATATACAAAGATGTTACTCCATTTATTCAATGAGGCAAAGGTCTACACATACTAAATAGAAATTATGATCACAATGTCCACATGTCAATGATATTCATATCATGTGTTCATTTATTTATTTATTTATTCTAGATTAAATTGTAGCTTCTTATATACCATTAAAAAACTTTAAAAAAACAGAGTCAAAGAATAAGATCCTGCAAAATTTCTTTCTTTTCTCTTCTTTTTCTCTTGGAAATTTTTTAACTAATGATTGTTAAATCTGGCTAGACCCCTAAATAGAATTCAGATATCCTCGTAGACATATTTAGATTAAATAGTAGAGAATATAGTCATTATTTCATGTTAGTTTATGCAAGAATTTTTTTATTTAATTCAATACTACATAATTTAAAATTATATTTATATAAAAATAAGAAATGTATAATTTTGATTTAAAAGCTTGATTGATTCAAATGTTCATCTTTGAACATTGATGTATCAAGCTCAAGTAAATATCTACATGCAATAATCTGATGCAATAATACCAAAATGACAAAATAACAATAGATACTTGCATATTCATAGGAGGAATGACAAGGTGGCATGTGCCCTCCATATCTCTTGATTAATTTCAATTGAATAAATGATATTTATATCTCGTTCGATTTAAAGAGAAAATATTCCGTCCAAACACTGCATGTCCAGACAACCAACCACCGACAATCACGTTGCAATCCACGTCATTGGCGGGCAAGTGCAGACGGGTCCAGATGAAATACTTATTTCTTTTTGAATTAAAACGGGTGATCAGAATGAAAAACACTTAAATTTGTATAAAACATTCTATTTATATCAAACTCAATCTGAACCCTTTTTAACTCTACTCAATTTTTTAATAAGCATTTGCATAAAACACACTTACAATATACTATAATTCAAATATACAGCCACAAAAGCTATTATTTTTTAATTTACATCATACATTTTCATATGCAATAACCTCAAATATATATATATATATATATTCTAATTTATCATTCTTCTCCTCATTATACTAAAATAAATATTTGAATCAGAATCAATAAATGAACCAACTTCTAACTTAATTTCAACTTGTCTCGATCAATTAATAGAGCTTAACTGCAACCAAAAGAACCCAAAACACTTTAATCAACTCAAGCTTGGCCAACTTATAAGCCGACTGCATGCTCATTCAGCTCTCATGTTTGGCTTATCCATTTTAGGTGAGCCAAACATAAAGCGCTCTTTACACTTTTTCTTATTTCTCCTACTAATTTGCAATATTTGTGCATGTGTATGCAATGCCTTCATTTTCCAAAGAAGTCCTATTCCGCAGGAACTTTATTGCAATTATGACCTTCAAGCTGGCCTTCTATATTTTGCAATTTTACATTCAATGCCTCCGACGGTATGGCCCACCAGTCTCGGATAACATTTTGCTCCAAAACTACTCACAGTAATGAACTGAATATTAGAAAATACAGTTCAGATTATAAGAATTTGCTATTATTATTTTGTTATAACATTTGCTATAAACTCTCTTCTAAATGAAAAAATTTGCGTACATAAGATGTACGCAGCGCTGCGTAGATAATGGAGGTTATATTCGCTTTATATCTTCTGTAACTTCCGTGTAACCTACAGATATGTGAAAACAGAAGCGCGAAACTTATTTGTAAGTTCAGATGAGTTATAGGTAGATTATATGGAGGTTACATCGAGGTTACAAACGATATAACACAGATATAACGTGAATATACCCTCCATTATGTACGCAGCGCGGCGTATGTCTTACGTATGTAAATTTTTCTCCTTCTAAATGCACAGGATTTCCATTTTGTTTAAATACCAAAATTAGAAGTTATTAATTAGTATTATGAACAGCCCATGCTACGTCTAATGGCAACATTTATTAATGTTTTATGATTTATATTAAGTATTTATTTACATTCAAAAAATTAAAAAAATAATATTGTTATGTGATATAAAAGATATGTGTGTTATAAATATAAAACGTAAATTTCATAAATGTAGTAATTAATTAAAACTTATATAAAACTATTTTTATAATAAATTTAATTAGTATATATTTCATATATATTAAATTTAAGACAAAATATTCAATTTTTTTTAATTTTTTGGTTCTAACTCCGACATAAATAATCCGAAAAATCTCTATTTAAACAATTAAAAAAAATACATTATCCTTAAGTCAAAATCGGTCTGACTCGGAGGTATCGGGTCCGGTTCAAAAATGCTGTGAACCGGAGACGATCGCAACGCATGCTATCGCCGGCCTCGTCCCGCTGAGGAACGCCAAGCAAAGCAAGCCAAATCCTGGAAAGCATGTCGCACGTTCTTTTAAGCACGAAAACACGATCTCTCCCCATGAACTCGACTTCTCCCGCTCTTTCCATCTCCCCCGCCTCCCAAATCACGCCGTAGCCCCTCTTTCTCGTCAGATCTTCGTCGTAGCCCTCTTCCATCAACGTCAATGCCGGCTAGGAATCGTTCGCATGCAGAGGAGCGGTGAGATGTCGAGCGAAGGGGTGGTCGACGGCTCGCTGCAGGTCGTGCGGGTGAAAAGGGAGGTGTTGGTGGCCTGCATGACATGTTCGCTCTGTAACAAGCTTCTCAGGGACGCGACCACCATCTCCGAGTGTCTCCATACGTGTGAGTTCTTGCTCTGATCTCGAATGTTGAAATCTGGGTTTCTTGCACGTTCGATTGCGGTGTGATTGTATGTGGTATTGTTGATTTTACGATGGGGTTTGGTGATCGGGGCATTGGGAGTGTGGTGAGGTTTCTGAGTGCCGGTTGAGGGATAGGATTTGGTGGTGGGGATTGAGAGTTTGCTGAAGCTTCCCGATGATTGTGGTTAATTAGGTACGTGGATTTTGGGTGAATGAATTTTCGTGACGGGGAAGATGGTTTTTTCGTGGATGTATGTATTTTTAAATCTTTCGAGTTGTTGTTGTTGTTATTATTATTATTATTATTATTATTATTATTATTTTTCCAAGCATTTGTGGCCTGCTGCATGAGCTGGTTAGATATGAGCTAAATTGGGAGTAGGTGTTGGATGTGGTTTCCAACATGGCGATTTTGCGTCTAATCTTTTCTGTGGAGAAGAAAATTAGTGAGGTTGGCTGTGTTGTTGTATTGCATGGAACGGGTCGAACTTTTTTTTGCCTGTTTTATGTTACTTTAGAGTTGGGGGAATTGTTGATTAGATTAGCTTCAAGCAATGCTTTTTTCCATTGAAGTAGCTAAGTTGAAGCAATGTCTCAATGTGTAGTTTGTTAGTGTAGAGTACATTATGCACGTTTTTATTTTAATTTTTATTTTATTTTAAGTTTGATGATTCACTGTAGTACATTATTCTTGGATAGAACTTCCAAAAATAAATTTTTTTTAACTTAATTTTTCTGTTCTCTTGTTTACAGTAATCGTGAATTAGTGGTTCGTTAATCATGTTTAATTCCCGGACCTTCTCATCTTGTGTGATAAAATCACAGGCTTTTCTTAGAAAAATTCGATTTTTTCGAGATTTTGCGTTTTATTATGGAATTTAGGACGTATATTACTAATGATTATTGGCTTTGGCGATCTCAGCTATATGCTACGGGATTAACGTGGCTTTGGAAGTTTTTGCTGATAATCTAGCGTATAGCGATGATTTTATTTTGTTTTCTTCATGCGTTGGCGTGTTTTTTGTGGTTAGTTACGCGGATGTTGGTTGAGTGGTGTTTTCTGGTGAGTAAGGCGGTTCTTTGTTGATGTATTTTGAAATTTTTAACTTTTTTTTTTAGTGCATTTATGAGTTGCTGCTTGTGCTGGTTAAGTGCGAGTGAAATTGGATTTAGTCGTGCTGATTTGCTGTCCAAAATGGAAATTATAGCGTTAATCAAGCAAACGTGTTGTTTTATTATGTTTCATGAATTGATTTTTTTTTTTCATGAGTCTATTTATTTAAGATAGCTGGCATTGTTGATTTCGGTTGATATATTGCTCTTGTTATTGGAGTTAAGATATTTACTCTGTTCGTGAAGATTCAACTGTTGCTTTTAATTTCTGCTTCTGAACTTTCCAAAACATATTATTCTTAATTTTCTAGTTTGGTTGTAAACATTAAACATTAAACGTGAAGTAGTGGTTTGTTTACTTTTTGGGCCTTAAATGCGTGGTTGTATAGGAAAGCATGAGGGAAGGTTATATAATTACAACGTTTTTTGAGTGCTATCTTTTGGTCTTTGAACCAGTTTGCAGGAAATGTATTTTTGATAAACTCAATGATGATGAGGAAGAATGCTGTCCTATATGTCAGCTTGATTTGGGTGTTGTTCCAACAGAGAAGCTGAGGTAAGTGCTGCTTATGATTCTTTTATTTCCATATAACTTCTCCTGTTCTTGTGGTTTCATGCAGCAGTAATAATTCTGTTTACATGCTTACTACATTAATGGTACATTTTGATGCTTTAGGAGAATATCATTCTTACATTTACACCAAAATCTTCTTTGTTTATTCACATGTGACTGAATTTGATGTTGAAAATTAATTTTTTTTTTATTTAAATGTTTTATTTTCCTTTTTTGTTGCTTCTATCAAGGGTAATTATATTAGATAATCCCCAAATAAAAAATAAAAAATAAAAAATAAAAAAACACAAATTGTATTTATTTGTCACCGGAAAAAAAAGTTACTTTTCTGTGGAATAACTTGCTTCGTAAACGCTAACCATGCCAGCCCCCCAAATTTAGGGTGCGGTAATTCAAGAATAAGAATTTAAGGTTGGAATTAATTTGCTCATTAGTTATCCTCTAATATCAAAATCATGGATGATGAAAGTTTCTCATTGCCCCTCATTTAACCTACTGAAGTCTAATCGAAACAATAAACTCCCTCATCATCTTGTTAATAGATAAATTACATTTCTTCACTTAGAAAGTATATTGCAGATGACTCTAGTTGGGTGATAGTAGATTCCATTGATATTTAACCCGATTTTACTTATATTGAAGAGGCTGAAAGGATTTTGGAATATGATATGAAGAAGCTTCATAATAGGGGATTCCATTTATGAAGATTTTGTAAAAGCATTGATTGGAGAAGGATGCTACTTGGGAGAAAGTCTCTGAGATGCAAGAAAAATATCCCCAACTTTTCGTTTGAGGTATTTTTTGTTTGTTTTAACTCTTTTCAAATTTTGAGTACGAAATTTTATTAAAGGATGAGAGATTGTAATAACTGATTTTTTCATAATAAACAAATAAATAATAAATAAATAGTGTTAATTAAAAAATAATAATAAAAAAGAAAAAAAATAGGTGTCAGAGGTTAGAAGACATGCACCCTCTCATAAGATACTTATTTCCCGCTATTTCAATTCTTCCCTCATTCAAATCAATGCATCGACAATGAAGGAGTGGAAGAAACAAAAAAGAAGAAAGAAGAGGAAGTAAAGGAGCAGTGAGTGTCTCTTACTTGTTTCAACACCGAACTCTATGTGAAGGGAAGCGACGTGAAGGGCCTGTGGTGCGAGATCGAACCGTGTCGAAGAGGAAAGTGGGCGGAAGACTTCGTGCGGGCGAAGAAGAACCCAAACCATACTTGTGGTGGCTTTGTCACTGTGCTCTTGCAAAGGAGGAAGGAGAGTCGAGGTCTTTGCATGCTGGTAAAGAGGTAAAGCTCGAGTGCGCTGTCATTGTGCGAAACAGTGGATGAAGACAACGTTCTGCTTGTGTGCAGAGGAAGAAGAAGGAAGGGGTTGACTTGCGACACTGTGTTGCGTGCAGGAAGAAGAGAAGGGGAGCAGAATTCTTGCAAAAAAGTAGGAGGAAGCGGCGACATTGCGTGTGTTGCTTTGGATTGAGCCGTACAAAGGAAGAAGTCCCTATAAGAAGATCAGTGGCCGAAGGAGGGATCGTGGTGTCATGCATGAGCTAGGATAGAGGATGAAAGTTATAAAAATGTGTTTTTAATGTTTTAATACATTAATATATTGTTATATGAATAATTATGTTTGTGTGTGTGTATGAGTATATATTTATTTAAATAATATGTTAATAGAATGTTACTTGAAACATGATAGAAGCTATAAAGTCTCGAAGTGGAAGGTGTAATGTGACGCGAACTTCCATTATGAGAAAGAGGAAAGAGTCACGGGTGTGAAGTGGAAAGTGAAATTAACGAAACCTTAATTTGTGATTTAATGTAAGTTGAGGTTGACCTAATTTAATTAATGAATCTTATATGAATATTCAAATTTATTCATTAAGTGTTAATAGTAGGTGTATTTGAAATCATAACGTAATTGAGTAAGGGAGATACGTTGCATGATTGAGGATCAAATCATTTTGAAAAATAAGCTGTGTTTAAAGTAATTTATTTAATTCAGAATTAATATTTAAGAAAAGTGTTAATGTTTAATAAGAATTTATGTTGAAGAACATTTGAGCCTAAAAAATCAGGGATTGTGGAATCGGTGTGAGAAGTAAGCTAAGCAAGTGAGTAATTTTCTTTTATGCATTAAATTAATATTTTATTAGGTGAATAATCACTTTATTAACTGATTTAAAACAAAAATTTCATTCATATTTTGCATTTTGAAAGTTTGAAATGTATATTACAAGTAGGATTGTCAAAACGACTCGTTGTTTGCGAACAACTCGTGTTCTGCTCGTTAAGAAGCTTGTGTTCGACTTGTTAATTTCGTTCGATAAGTTAACGAGTTGAACACGAACTAAGATGTGTTCGTTTGTGTTCGGCTCATTTTGGCTCGAAATACTACTCATCAAGTTTATATATATATATATATTTATATATATATAAAATAGTATTTTATTAAGTAGTATTTTAAAAAAATCTAATTGACTACAAGGCTACAAAGATTTATAATCAATAAAATATTGATTAAGAAAATAGAATAAAAATTATTAAATTATATTCAAATGATGTTTTAATATAAATAATAATTTTTAAATCTTGCTCAAACCCTTATTGTCTTATGACTACATGATTAGGGTTGTTAAAATGACTCTTTGTTCGTGAACAGCTCGTGTTCGGCTCGTCACGAGCTGAGTCTCAGCTCGTGTTCGACTCGTTTACACCCCTAATTACAAGTGAGAGGAAAACAGTTGATATATGAAGTTATATTTTTAAAAGATTTTAATTGATATGAAATGCTAAGTAAAATATTAAGTCATACAGGATTGCTCCCAAATAGTATTGGCAAAAGTTGCGATGTGCCCGTGCACGATAAAAGAAATGGTAAAGATGTATCTTTGGGTGTAAATTTTTAAGGGTACCTATGAGTACTTTCGGGTACAATTTTGAGGATTTCTTCGGGTATGTCGGCAATCCTGTTATAACTCTTAGAAATGTTATAAATGGTAAATATTTAAAGTGAAACGTGAAGAAATAAAATTAAAATGAAAGTTTAAATTTTAAGAAAGTAATGAACTACATTTTCTTTTGGTCATTCATATATAGCGTTGACATAATAATCTAATGCATATTAAGATCTTAATTGCTCATAAGTCAAATTTGCTATTGAATTTAATTCTCTTTCAGGAAAAAAATGTTATATGTTGAAATGTCTGATAAGAGAGATTTAATTTACAGGAAGAGGATTGCAATTGATATGTACAATTTATGTTGTGATTGTAATTTCTTTTTACTGTTTGCTTTTGTGTAGAGAAACTTTGTATATTGGTCTGAGATGTCTACAAAATGTTTTTATTTTTGAATGTTTTGATTTTATTTGTATTTACTTGTGGATTATTAGTGGTCTTTTAAAAATTGAAAGTTTTAAATATGATGACAATTTTTTAAATGATAATACAGTTCGGCTGCAGTCCCTGATTTGGTTAATTTTAAGCTATCAGGTCAGGTCGTGACAATAAACATTCTATATAAGTTTGAACCAATTAAATTACGTACTTTATTTCAGATATTTAAATAAACTTAAAAGGACAGTGAAGAATTAAACACAATTAAAATGCTTCATTTGCAAGGCATTTCTGGTTTAGGAGACTACACAATTCTGTTCCTATTATTTTGAGCCTCATGAGCGAGTCAACAAACTAGAGTTGAAAGAAGATTGTCTAGGAATTTTCAATCTGGTTAGACTCTTATTCAACCTCTGACTGTATGTTCGAAAATGTCCTATTACATTTGACAGCAGATTGAGGTGATCATAATCTCATGAGAAACTATTTTCATGATTTTCTTATAAAAATGCGGCAGAATCTACAAAGTTGCACTCTCAATCGCTATACAAAAAAGTTTGTTGACTAAATGATGCTTCTGCTAACCCTAATAACTAATATATTTTTTGCTTCAAGTTACATTCTGTTTTATTCGCATTCTGCTGGCTAATGTTTCTATTTAAGCTCTACACTTTGATGAGCTTTCTTTTAATGCAGTACACACATCATCATTTCCAACATTATCTCCGCTATCTGGGATGAGCTTTTCCATTAAAACTTTTTAACAATATGAAAATTTGCATTGGTATTTCAGTAAATTCTTTTTGTTTATCGTTAGTCAGTCAACATCAAGTTATTACTGAGTTTTAATGAATATTTGCTGCACTTAGTGTTTGTTAAATCTTGCTTTTGTGTGTAAACTGCTTAATACAGACCTGATCACAACCTAGAAGATATAAGAGCTAAGATTTTCCCCTACAAAAGGCGAAAGTTTCATGGTCTAGAAGTTGTCCCATCCATTACATTGCCTGTTAGAAGAAAGGAAAGGTCACTATCCTCTTTAGGCGTCATTACTCGAGTAAAAGCTCAGTCAGGCTTGACAGGAAAGAGAACAAAAGCAGTAGCTAGAAGGGCATCCAGTACACGGGGACCAAGTCCGGTTATTGGCGAACATAAGAAGAAAGAAGATGATAATGATGATGTGGTTGATTCCAGCTCACCAGAGAAATTCATCAAAATGGCTCTTAGTAGAAGGCAGGTAAATTTTATGCATATTTGAATAAATGTTTTTACTTGATGGATATTGACTTTATTTTTATATGGAGTTGAATTAACAGTTTTTTTTTTTGGTAAACTTTGCAGGCTTCATCTTGTGCAGAAGCATCTAACTATTCACATAATAAAGATACCGAGACTGGTCCAGAAACTTCTAAGCCTAAATCTGAGTTGTGGAAACCGTTGAACTGTCTTTTAGAAGTTGCAAATAGGACAAAGGGTTTTAAGTCTAGTTCTCAAACTCCTGCTATTAAAGCAGATCAAACAAATAGTCTTGAAAACGAAAGTCATATGTACAGAGCAAAGGCTCGGGATCACCCAAGTAGGTTAAAAATTGAAGATTTTGACAATAACAATGTTTCAACATCTCCGAAAATGGCCAAAGCTAGAAGGATGCATGCTTTTAGAAGTAAAAGGAAGGGGCATGGTCTTTCAGCTCAAGCAGTGCTTGATGCTTCAGATGCCGCCAGTGAAAGGAGGATCTGCCCAATTTGGCTTTCATTGCTTTCATCCCCCAACAAGTAAGAACTGACGAATCCTTGACGCATATGTAGTTATGATGTTTTTTCTACCTTTTACTGACCATTTCTGTGTTTCATTATAATTACTGCAGAAAAGGAGGCACTCCATTGCCTCAAGTACCGGCATCATATCTAAGAATTATGTGAGTTTCCTTTCTGTATTCACTCGTAATTTGCAGATATATAGGGCTTGGTCTACTTGATTTATGTTTATTCTGTTATTTTTGTGTGTTAGGTTTCATCAATGACACAATAATACACAATTTTCGTGAAGGCTTTTAAATTTAGAAGTGTAGTGCGGGCTCTAAAATTTACATCTCCGCCTCACCTAAGAGAGTTTTGGGTGGTTTTGGGCTAATTTTTTAGAAGGAAATTTAGATTTTATATAAGGCATTACTCATAAAATTTACTCTCATTTTTTGGGGATTTTAAGATTTGCTTCTAGATCCCCTTGGTCAGAAGCTACTATGACTATTTCTATTGGTGACACTATATAACTTTTTATTAACTCTAGTACTTGGATGTTAAATGTTTAGCATATAGTAGCAGCGATTTGACTTTTAGATTAAAGAAGTTTACCACTGTTAGATTAGAGTGAATTATGGTAGGAATGATGACAAACCCAATCAATCATGATTATTTCATTCTAAGTTGTCATGCACCTTGGTCAATCTAATTTAAGTAGGTAGTCGGCCTAAACCAACTAAGAATTCTTGTCCCTAGCCATGAGCTACATTTTTAATGGAACCTTATAAACATGGGGTGAATGTTTATCAAATGGGACAATTTTAAATCGACATTAACTAATAAAAAGCCTTTTGTTTAATAAAAAAATATGTTGGCGTTTTGTGGCGATCCTCCTAGTCACAGGGCACCAGACATAATTATATTTTTTTGTGGTGTTATTTGAGAGCAAAAATATTTTGTTAGATTACACATGTTTTTTTTTTTTTTTGGCATGAGACCTTTGGGACTGACTATATATTTATGTATGATATGAAATTAACTTTTCATGAGATTAGGTTAATCATAAATTTATCATCATTAAACTATCAAGAAAGATGGGTGAATTATTGCTCTTTAGCTCTATGTGATATTTCACTTGAAAATTTTTAGTTCTTATACATTTTTTGAATTTTTAATAATTTATCTGGATTTAGGCCCAAAAATATTTTCATTAGGATTCAGGATATTTTGATAATAATATTGCCTCCACTTGAGATTTTTTTTAACATGGCTATCATTGAGGTGTTTGAATGGCTTTATTTTGTTGTTTTAGACCTTGTTGATTCTACCGACTTGCTTTAGGGTTGCTTTTGCGGAGTATTAGGTCTTGATTTAAGTTTATCTTAAAATTTTATTATGTCGTAGACCTTGTAAACTTGCCTTAAAATGTAGAGGATCAAGTTTAGAGATCAAAATTTGTGATTATATTTGTAGGCATGATGCCAAAATTCTATATTTTTTTATATGAATGTCTTGTTTAAAGGCATTGAAGGCCACATGTAAAATTTTAAATGAATAATAAAAATATTTTTGTAAGTTTTGCAGTTGAGTGCTTTACCATAAATTTGCTTAACTAGAACTTTAATTAATTATTGTTGCAATGATTCACAAAGAGGTGAAAGTTTTGTCAACTTTGACAAAAGATGTACTTACAACTCTGCCTTGTAGGCAAGGAAGCCCTCTTAAGAACATGCTTCTATATTGACAAATTCAGTTATTTTAAAAGGAAAGATTTGTAATATGAAAGTCTTGATTTTAAAACATGGACCTCCTCCTGTTATGATGGCTAAAGATCATAGACCTATCTTAGGGGTATTTGAAGAATTGTATTTTGCTATATTGGGCATTATAGACTTTTCTTTTTATTGTACAAAGGATTGGGTCTGTGATTTATATATGATTAGAATTAATTTGAAAATTTATCGCATGGTAGACCATGTTGACTATCAATTGTACCTAGAGTATTTGGTCTGTGGGTTGAACTCATCATTATATTTATATGTGCATAATGATATCAAGAATTTTCATTTTGAAGTGAATTTTACTATGTAGAAGACTTTAAAGGCTATCTTTAAACAATTGACAAAACAATCTTTATGAGATTTGATAGAAAGCATAAAATTTTTAGTCTGATGACAAGTTAACTGTATTTGACCGAGATATGAGTTTACACATCTTTTTTTAACACAAGTCTTGTTGATTCATATTCATGACTTACAACTTGCTTAAGAGTGCACGTATTCATTAAGTATTAGTTTTAATTGAAAAGAAATTTGAATTCTTAAAAATAATTGCACGCTCCTAAGAGTATTTTGATTTAAATTCATTTTGTGTTGGTTTGCAGAACATTCTCAAACATTGTTTTGAGCCTTTAAAATGTTTGTCAGAGCACATGTGGGTACCGTGTGCATTTTTTTGAAATGATCACGAAATCAATGAAACACAATTATAAACAACTTGTATTAGGAAGATTTTTGTTTTTTGGGAATATAACTTTGTTCACGGGAACATTTTGTCACCCTAGACATTCACATGTTTCTTCTAGCGATCAATGTGCATGTTACTTTATGCACTCATGCATCTCGTGACGCACAATGGATCATCTTCTTTTTTATTCTATTTGAAAGCCATTCATGTGAACACATTGCCATTTGAAATGTATGAAAGTTAGTTGTGATATTTGTTCATGTGAATGTACTATCATCAAGAAACGCTTGTAACTTTGCATCTTAAATCCACAATTAGCCACATTTTATCCTCTTTCGTGTGTCATTTTGTGGATTTGTTGTGATAGAGGTTTATTATTTGTTAGGAGTATAAATCATCTTGAATGACTTGCATTCAACCCTTATTTTGTTCAAGTGAGCCCCACAAGAGATTATTTTTTTCATCTATAAACAGGACCCAATCATAGTTTATTTCACCTCAATTTAGATTTATTTAGTATTTCCTCAGAGTCATGAGTAGTCAAAAAGTGGGGTTTTGGGCAAGTTTTTAAGTTTGTCATAAGTTCTTTATATGTCCTGTTTTAGGCCTGATTGTGTTTTGTCCAAATTATATTCAATTATTTCAATACAACTTGTATCTTTATTTGAGCGTTCATTAATATTATTTTCATATTTCAAATTTATTTGAAAATTAGCTACATGAATATCATTTTGAAAAACAACAAAGAGACCTTCGAGCGGGCATCTGAAGGCTCGAGTAGTTGGAGCATTCTATCTTGTACGAAGTTGAAGAGGGAGAATTCTTGCTTGTTGTGCCCTACTCAAGTGAAGAGAGAAGGAAGAAGACTCGAGCGGCTAGCCATTAGTATCGATCGAGAGCTTAGAGAAGGAGGAAGGGCCGACAGGAGCCCTATCATGCAGCCCACAGAGGAAGGAAGTGGAAGGCCATTGTGCATGCGAGAGAGGCTTGGTCAATCGGTTCGAATGGCTTAGGGTAGGTAGAGGGTTAAAAAAGGTAATGTAATAATTTATAGTTATTAAGTGGTATTTAGTAAAATAAAATTATAAACATTTTACGTTAAATTGTTTTCAAATTGTCAATATTTGCTTCAAGTAATTGGTGAAAAGGCTAAATCAGAAAAAGAGGGCTTTGTTGCGGAAAAGAAATTCACATATGACGACTAATTTGAATAATTTAATGTTATTTTTCCTAATCATCAATTTTAAACTAAAGTAAAACCTTAAGAACACTAAAACTTAAGCTCCCGACATATTTCTCTTAAATGAAACATACTAAAAGAAAATTAAGAATGTTCTCTACATTAGAATTATAACATTTAATTGATGAACTATTGATTTTTATATACGATATAACTAATATTATTTTAATTGTAATTATAGGTGCACTTAAGGATTAGTTTTATCAAGGGAAAGGATAATAGAGGATATTATTGAGGTGGGTAATATGTTTTTTTTTTTACATTAGTTTTGTTTATTTACGCGTGTTTTTACTATTTTCTAGTTTTTATTTTGAAAATGTAAAAGTCCATGTTTTCGTTTAAATGTTAAATGCAAGTTTTCTTTTAAATATAAAATACAAGATAAAAATGAATAAAACCTGATATATGCATGCATATGAAAATCACCCTTAGACGGTACTAGCAGGAGAATGCGTTGTACTTGTGCACGAAATGTAAATAGAAATGGAAATGGTTGCTCACTTTTATGGTAGGTTGGAAAATGTTAAACGTATATTTTTATAAAGTATACGTTCAGATGGTGACCCTCAATTTTGAAATGTATAACTTAAATAAATGAAAGGAATGACATTTGTTTTCTTTACTGCTTTTTTTTATAGCATAGCTTTTACTGTTACCGCGGTTTACAAAAATATTATAAAAATGAGAATTATTATAATTTCAAAATATTTACTCACTGAGTTGTTCTCAAAACATAATTGTTAATATTTGTATAGTAAAACCAATTATTAATTAGATGGAACCTAGGGAGTACTTGAACAGACGCCGTGAAGCGCAAGCGGATAGGTATTGCAGTTTAATTTATCTCCTATATAATGGAAATGTAAATGCTTAAATATGAACAATCTATTGTAAATATAAGTTTTATAAATTAGATTGACTTTTGTAATTTGGTGGATTTTATTTGATTATGAAATGAAATTGTAAGATAAGTTTTCTCCATCCGACCGACAGTTCCCGTTTTGGTAATTCCAAGCCCCCAGACCGGGTCATGACAACAAAACCCTTTGTTGAGACTCATCCCAATTCTCTTACTTTCAAGCCCGCTGCCTCATTGCCTTGTTGCAGCTCTTAGAGACTGCTCTAGCTGACGAACCTAGCACATTTCTCTCTCCACCTATGCGAACCACTCCTAATCCGAGTGAAGATTTGCATCTCGATTGAGTTACGCAACATGTACGGTCATACACTCTTCAACCCCTTTATTCCATGACAAATGTCTCGTTCCACAGCCTAACTTCGTTCTACAAAGCATTTACCACATCTTTGACGAATCGTTGTCTCCCATTCACTACTGTTGTGGATGAGATGAATGCCCTTCGAAGCAATCATACTTGGGACATGGTTAATCTCTCCCTGGGAAAGAAAGCAGTGGGTTGTTGGTGAATTTTTTTAGCAATAAATTTAACTGATGGCTCTTTTGAACGCAACAAGGTGTGTTTGGTCACCAAAGGATATTCATTAACTTATGGGGTTAACTATGAATAGACATTTGCTCCAGTTACTAATTTAAATACCGTTCAGGTCCTGTTATCTCGAGCTGCGAATTTGAATTGGCCCTTACCTTAGTTGGACGCCAAGAATGTTTTTCTAAATGACGATCTCATTGAGGTTTATATGTCTCTCCCATCAAGATTTGACTCAATTTTTTTTCCACGTTCAAGTGTGTCGATTGCAGAAGTCCCTCTATGCACTGAAACAACCCCCATGTGCTTGGATTGGCAGGTTTATGCAAGTTGTAGTGGGTCATGGTTTCTCTTAGGTCCAATCTGATTATATGTTGTTTTTTCGCCTTTCATATGGTGACTATTGCCATTCTCATCATTTATGTTGACAACATTGTGCACATGGGTAACAATTTATTGGCGTTGGAGTCTCTCAAGACCATTCTCGTTGTTTCTTTTGAGATGAAAAACTTAAATTCTTTCTGGTATTTCTTAGGCTTGGACGTAGCTTGGTTCTCTTGGGGCATTTGTCTTTTCCAGCACAAATATATGATTGATTTATTGACAGAGACTAATCTACTTCCTTGCAAATTGGTAATTGTCCCGATGGACCCCAATGAGAAATTCTTTGAAGTTCCCATGTCGTTTCGGTGAACAAAATACACCACCAACGCCTCGTGGGTAAGCCCATTTACCTTGCCTATATGCGCCCAGACATTTGTCACATTATTAGTGTTGTAAGTTTATGCGTGACCCCTACGAGCATCATCTTTCCGTTGTCCATTGGATCTTCTACTTTTTAAAAGGCACACTGAACTAGAGTTTGTAGTTCACTCGTCGCATATCTCACACAGTTGCGATTTATAATTTAGGATTTTGTATAATGAGTAATTGTAGAATTGAAAAGGTGATTAAGAGAAATAATAAAATTGATAGAATATTAAGCATTGAATAAAGCATCAAAATAATTAAGCGGCTACAAGAATAATAAAAAAAAGGGTTAGGTGTGTAATTACTATTTTATTTACATTAAAGTTATTTTTTTTATTTTCAACAATATTTAATCTGTTCATATGTATTCAAATTACCATTATAATTGAAAGAAGTTAAATTAAAAACATATGATTGTTTTATGATGTCAATTTTTTATCTCTTAGACTACATTTAGTGAAAAGTAAATAAACTTAAATAATTGAAATTAATTAATAATAAGTTAAATGAAAGGTAAATGATTAAATCTATCAAGTTTCACCCCTTTATATTACTAGCTGATGACGATATTGTATTCATGCATGTTAAATGTAAAGGAAATGATAAAGACGCTATCTTTATGATACAAAATGGTACAAAAAATAATAAATATTGTACCTTTATTGGTATGTTTTGGCGGTGCTTCTGAGAGGACTTCTTAAAAAAAAGAAAAATGAAAAATATAAATGATTACAAAAAAGGAAAATGTAATTGCTTAAAATATTTAAATAAAGATTTTATAAAATACAAAATGCGAAGTTTATTTTATAGATTGATCAACATATTAATTTGTACATTTATGTTAGATATTTGTATAATGATTTATTGCACAATAAACAATAACTATTCATTAAGTTTTTTTACATTTAACATATTTAATTGTTCTTTCTGGAAAATGTTTGTCAGACTAAGATAAAAGATAGAAGAGAGTTTATTTACAGGAGGGGATAGAGTGTTGATGATATGTAGTAGGCTATTTTTTTTTAATTTTGTCACTTTTATGATATTCTTTATTTTATTTTAGCAGACTGGATTAGCTTTTGTACTTTGTTAGATAATGCTTACTTATTTATTATGAATTGTAGTTTTTTTATAATTGAATGTTATTATGGATTAATATCACTGTTTGAAAATATTTTTTTTCGTCGTTCGACTGTTCGTTCCCGCTCTGGTTAACTCGAAATTTTCGGACCGAATCGTAACAAAAGTGATCTCAGAAGAATTAATTTTTATTCCTGATAAAATAAATCCATCACGATGATTGAATATATTTATAAAGTGTAAAATAAATGTTTTAATGTGTCTAATTATATTATTTTATTTTATTTCAGAATTATGGATAATGGGGTGAAAAATTTGAGAAATGATAATGTATGAGTTGATATTCCCTAGAATATAATAGTTGATGCTAATGCCTTGGTAATAACTGAAAAAAGAAATAATTATATCAAATAAAATTTTATCTAATGGATGGGCGAGTGGACGAGTCAGTTCGATGAAAAAATATTACCTCAGGAGTATTGATGCATACTCCAATGTGGGGTGCCACGTGACGTCACAGTGGGATCATTGCATACGTGGCACCCCACCATTGGAGTATTGATGCAGCAGTACTCCCGAGGTAATAATTTTTCCAATTTGACTAGTATCTTCATGTGATAAAAGTCGAGCGACCCAATTGAAGAATAGAGAAATGACAAGACGACAATTGAGAATGAGAAGAGGAAGAGACAGAGTGGTAAAGAGAATACGAGGAAGAAAAGGAGGCGACACGAAACCTAGCTGAAGTACATGCAATAGATAAAGCCAAGGAAAAGGAAATTACATGTGTTTAGAGCAAGCGCTTGTGAAGTGAAGATGATGCCACCAAGTTCTTACGCATGAAGGAAGGAGTGGTGTTGAAGCAGACGTGGGTATCAAGCTAAGGATCGACGCAAGGAAATTGAGCGGGTTGCTTGCTGGATGTGTTCGTGCTTGATCGTTTGGAGAGAACACTACAGGTGTGAAGATAAAATAAAGATATAAGTTGCGTACTTCTCATAAGAGGAATTAACGTCATTCGTATTTTTGGTGTGTTTTGCTTGAGGGTGGTGATATTAAGAGCGCATCCTATGAGAAGGAAATGAGAAAAAAAACAAAATGGAGATTGTATGTGGGAAGGCTGTGTTGACTCCAACCAAGTGCATGAATGCAACCTTGCATACAGGTCTTATGCAGGAGACAACTGAGCCAAACTTAAGGAAAACATGTTAGGGTCTTAATATGTTTTTTTTTTATTTAAATTAATTAATTATTGAAAAGATATTTAATGTTATTGTTAAATTTTGTTTAACAAAAAATTTTAGATTGAGGAGCATTCAAATTGAAGTGAGAAGAAGTTACGACGTCATTAAAAGTAAGTGTTTAACTGAAAGTTATCTATATTTAAATAAATAATGATTTAAATATTAATATAAGTTTTATTGCATAATAACACTGAAAATTTGAGGTGGGAGAATATTCAAATCCGAAAACAAGAAGAATTAGCAACATTAATCAGGTTAGGGTTTCCTATTTAAGTTATAAGTTTTTCTAAATTCAAATTGATAAATGTGAATAATAAGTTTACTGAATGATATCAAATTTTGGCAAGTTCAAGTTTTTGAGTTGGAATTGGTAGGAGTAGAAATGTGAAAGCTCTCGAGATGAGTAATAATACTTTCAAGTTACAATAATATTTCTTATTTTTAGATATATTCTTACTTTCAGATTTTCATTATAATGCTTTATGAAATTAAATTGCATTTAGCTCTTCATATTGTTTATCATGAAGTATGCATGTTAAAAACTATTGCCAAAAAGAATTTCATAATAGTTTGTTGTAGGAAGATATCAAATTATTGGATGACCTTTAAAATTTTAGTAAAGGTGTATCTATCAGATTATCACATGACATTATATTCTAGTAGAGTTGCATTATTTTTGATAGATAAATACAAGTTATCTCATATAAAAGTAATGTATGTATTGAATAATGAAATGAAAATATTGTATACATGATTGTTTTTATATGCATTAAAGAGGAGTTCACCCTCTTATGGTATTGGTATGGGACGCCAATGTACACGTGCACATAAATGTTATCCTATCACGTCAGATAATTATAATTTTTAGATCACTAACCGCTGTGTCAATTAGAGAATATCGGTCAGGGGTGAGTTGTCATTTTTTCACCTCAAATATTCTTGTAAATTAGATTACAAATTGTTGTGCTGTAGGATAATATTAATCAGAATTTTGCTGTGATGGTGCTCTTGAGACAGTTATGAATTTTAAAAGTATGCAGTATAATAAAGTTAAAAGATAAAAACATGAAGTATAATAAAGTTAAATGATTAAAATTAAAGTTAATGCATATCAAAATTTAAGTTATTTTCATTGTGTAAGTGTCATAGACACATATATTAGATTATTATTAGACTTTTATATTGAAATATAAATGACCAATATACATATTATTTTCTTTTCTTTGGGTTAATTTAGTTTAGAAGTATAATTGTCTACTAGGTTATCCTTATTATGTTATTTTAATTTTTTTCAGGTTTAAGGTTTTGAATGAGATGGACACTAGAGAAGATAATGTTTATAGAAGGTGAGGATAGCAACCTGAAATGTATCTTTTTATTTGGTCAATTTAATTGCTTTCTTTAGTGGCTCTTTCAATTAATATTTGAATTTTAATTAGTTAATCATAGAAATAAAATAATAGAAAAATTTAACTTCACCGTTTGATTGTCAGTTTCCGTCTTAATTAATTTCTAGTCTCAGAGTTGGTCATGACAGCCTTTTATGAAAGGATAATGATGTGACATAACTAATTAATAATTGTCAACCCCAAATCAATAGTAGCGGGGGAGCACAGATGATAAATACTTAAAAGTTTTTTCTGGATATGAGATTGTAACTATTTTTAGGAGTAGGTTAGTCGAAAATGAATACTGGTTGATGTTGGTGGAGAAAATTATAGAGGGCATGACTGTGGTTTGAAAATTTGACGCCCCGTACTTTCTATTGTTGAGAGATTTGTATTTGGTATTCTAGGTCAAATTTTTAGAAGACAGATTGAATTATAGATAAGACACAATCCAAAAGACAGTTGTGAATTTTAAAAGTATGAAGTATAATAAAGTTAAAAGATAAAAACATGAAGTATAATAAAGTTAAATGATTAAAATTTGAATATTAAAATTAAAGTTAATGCATATCAAAATTTAAGTTGTTTTCATTGTGTAAATGTCATAGACACATATATTAGATTATTAACAGATTTTTATATTGAAATATGAAAGACCGGTATACATATTATTTTCTTTTCCTTGGGTTATTGTAGTTTAGAAGTGTGATTGTTCTACTAGGTTATCCTTATTATGTTATTTTATTTTTTTTCAGGTTTAAGGTTTTGAATGAGATAAACACTAGAGAAGATAATATTTATAAAAGGTGAGGATAACAACCTGAAATGTATCTTTTATTTGGTAGATTTAATTGTTTTCTTTAGTAGCTCTTTCAATTAATATTTAAATGTTAATTTGTTAGTCATAAAAATAAAATAATAGGAAAATTTAAGTTTAACATTTGATTGTCAGTTTCCGTCTTAGTTAATTTCTAGTCTCAGAGTTGGTCGTGACAGCTTTTTATGAAAGGATGAATGATGTAACATAACTAATTAATAATTATCAACCCCAAATCAATAGTAGCGGGGGAGCACCGATGGATAACTACTTAAAGTTTTTTCTGGATATGTGATTGTAACTATTTTTAGGAGTAGGTTAGTCAAAGATGAATATTGGTTGATGATGGTGGAGAAAATTATAGAGGGCATGACTGTGGTTCCCCGGAGCTTCTATTTTTGAGAGATTTGTATTTGGTATTCTGGCTCAAATTTTTAGAAGACATATTGAATTATAGATAAGACACAACCCAAAAATTTTGTCCTCTTTTTGTAAAGAATTTTTGATTCAAGGTTCTAGATTTCCCATTGACGGAAGCCCTTATGGTTAATTACCTGTCTCGCTAATAGGAAACCACTCCGATTAAGAGTAGTCATTTAACATTGAATAATCAGCGTATAGTAACAACAAACTTAGAATTTTAGATTATAAAATTTATCATTTTGCGCTTAAAACGGATATTGGGGGATAAGATAATGAACCCGATCAGGATCCCATAGTTCTATCATCCCGCACCGTCGTCAGAAGTGGTAGTCGACCCACCCTAACTAATAGATATTTGTTAGCAACCATGTGCTGCATCTTCCAAGCGATCTTTATAGATTTGGGGTGAATATTTGTTTAAGGGGATAAATTTAAATCTTTCTTGGATATTAAAAGCTTTATGTCAATTTAATGTACCCCTATGGTTCATAATTGAAATGATAGAAAGTCATTAGAAAACATACGGACTATAGTTGTAACTGTAATATTATGTTGTCATTTAGGGGCAAACACTATCTCAAAGGGCTCTGGTCGTAATTGATACTTTTGTGAGGTCGTTGGGCCAAATCATGTGGACAAAAAACTCAGATGACATTTTTATTGCGTGAGATTACTTTGAGCATGAATATAGTGATACACTTGATGTGGCATTTACTCTTTATAAGTTGCAGTCAATAAAAAAATTATCACTCGACAAATTGTTGCAGAAGGTGGACAGAGTTTGCTTTAAGTTTTTATTGATTGATTTTAACTTGGATGTTTTGATTTATTGGCTTTAAGTATTTAGGTGATTGATTTTAATTTGAATATCTTGATTTGTTATTTTGAGAACTTAATTTGAAAATTTATTTCAAAATTGAACCCCCCCCCCCCCCCCCCACCAACCTTACTCAACCGACCCCCCCCCCCCCCCCCCCCAATGTTGGGCATCGCGTCCCTACATATGATAAGATGTATCCAATGTTAACCATTGCCACTTATGGCATTGCAGCGCTGGGATCAAATGCTAAATTACATATTCAACAAAGTTCAATATAAGCATAATGCTACGGTGCCTCAAGCAATGGAGCACCCCCGACCGCGACAGGTTGCTTCACCTAAAATGACATTTATGGCCACTAAAGGAGTTATTATAGGGGTTTAGCACTGTGGTACCGTGCCTAGCATCGTGGCACTGTGACTATCATTGTGGAGCCAACACCGCAACACCTGATTGCTTATGAATAAAAGATAAAATATAACAGTTCCTAGTGCCAATTCCTAACAGTCGGGCCTTATAGTTTCTCTCTCCTTTGTAAAAATTCTTTACCAAAGATGCCACACCAACACGTTTGTACTTAGGGCCAGGGACTGGTCGTGCTCCTGGACCTATCTCGGACAATGACTTCAACAGCGAGACTTCTGACACCAGCTCACGTCAGTAGCCCCTAGGGCCTAGAAGCTGCACCCATTATCTCAGCATTTCTCCATCTTAATGGAAGACATTGCCAATGTCACTAGCAGATTAGACGATCTCATGGGATACCTAGAGTGTATTTTGAATTGTCCAGAGTGTATCAAAAAACAACAAGATATGCTAGCCGATTGACGCGTGGATGCCCACGAAAGGTGGGAGAAATCTATCCAACATTCTTCTCAGGGTCAAAGTACGACATGAAGAACAAGTTGGGAAGTGGATGACGGCATGATCGGAGGCAGATGGCTGCTCAATCCTTATAGTTTATGTGAATGCTCCACCCTATTTTTGATGTTATCATTCTTGTATTTTCTTTTTCCATTTAAATACGTGAGATGTAACATGTGTTACATTTATTGATGGGTATCTGTAGCACTCACCTTTAATTTTAATGAGATGATGCATGCTTTTATCATATATTTATTTGATGTGTTGTCTATTACTTACAATGTGTCTTTTTTCCTATTTTGGGAGTTCTTATTTCTCTCTGGAGTGCCTCGTGATAAATTCAATCACTTTTAGTGGCTGGCATGAACTTCAAGGCGTGATAGATGGCAAGTGCCATGACAACGCACTTGCATTTTTTGTATGTCCCATTGCATGCTAGTTTGAGAGTCTGCATTTTTTGCACTCACTTGATTGTTGTGTTTGCTATATCAATCTATTTTAATTGCATTTCTCATATTATGAGGATTCTGTTGTGTTGTGTTTTTGGGACTTAACTTTCCATACACTTACTTGCAGATTGTGTATCTCTATACACTAACTATTTTACTTCATATGAGTAAAACATTCGTTTTTCTTCTATAGATTTGTGTTGCATGAATCAGCATGTTTGTGAGTAGGCTTCAGTTACCCTTAGCTTGACCTGTGATTGTAATAAGGAGATGAGCATTGTCTGTTGGTTTTAACCCATTTAGGCAATGTAATCCTATTACGACCATATCTCATAGGATCGTTCCAAACATACCACTTGGCTAACCTTCATCACTTATTTGGACGAGGGTTAGTTCATTCAGATGCTCGTGATAGGGCCAACTTGGTGACCCTATTGAGATACTACTGCAAACTCTTAGCCCCCGTACTGCACATCTTGCACTTAGATACTGGTTAGGCAACATCTTATAGTCCATGTTTAAAATTAGGGCTAGGGTGTAGTTAGGGATTTTCGTTCACATCTATTGTTCTTTAGCTAGTGCTAGTTGTTGTACAATTTGAGTGCTTTTTTTATATCTTATTGGGTGTGAGATTTGTGCACTAGTATGTTCGGGGTGGATTCTTCCTTGTAGGGTTGCATATCAAAGAGAAAAGTTGAATGGTTTAGACTAACACATTTTTTACAGGTGTTGTTTAGCTCCTCTTGTCAGATATGTTCTTTTATATATTGCATGAGATAGTGTGTCCTAACCTTTGATTTGCAGGCCAAGTATTTTTTTTTTTACATTTTTTTCTTGTACTTTTAAAGTCTTTTATGAGAGTTTGTACTGGAAATAAGCTACACGCACGAGTCTCGGAGCTTGAAGGAGAGACCATGTTGAGAGAACCGGGAGCTATTTGCTTATGCCTTGTACTTTAATTTCATATTGTACATTTGTTGTATAGGTCTAGGATTGGATATGTATATGCAGGGTCTGACATCTTTTTTTCTTTTTTGGAATTGTAGCCGACCCAACAACACCTAACATTTTATTCTCTTATATCGAATGTTTACTTTTAAGTATTGTTCTTGCTTTCACTCTTTCTTTTACCTATTGTTTGTCTGAGTACGATCACTTTTAAACTCATTAGGATAAAATTTTTGCTACTAAGTTTAATCTTAAAAAAATTACCTCTAATAAGATTTATGATTAAAATATTCTAAATTTTAAATTATGTTATTTTATTTCTTGCATTTATTTTTTTGCATGACCTTTTGGCCAGCTTGAAAATGATAATAAAATGTATGGATATTACCTCCGAGCATGCTAATAGGTCTTCCATGCTTAGGGCGACCTAGCTCACTGCATACATATTGTATTATCTGAGGAAAGTATTCTTGTTTTCCAAAATAACTGGCCCATCATATTTTTTATAAAATTAAGTGATTGACTAGAGCTGTATAGAATGTTAGAGCCTTTCTCAATCCCGATGGGATTATATAAGTGTCAGAATCTGGTCCAATACTTAGAATTAACTCAGACGGGAACTGCGGTCAGACGGTATTAACATCTAACTATCTATATTTTAAAAACTTTCAATACATATAAAAGAACCACTAATCCACGAAATGCAATAAAATCTAAAGCATCCATAAACAATAACGTTTGAAGACGACATCTCAAGCCATTACAAAACAGTATAACAATATAAAGAAACAATAAAGAAAACTACCTAGCAGCAGTGATCCTCCTCCTGTAAACCAAGCCTCTTCTATCGTACATATCAACTTAAAACTTTCTTTCTCCTGAAAGAAAATATTAATTGCAACTGTAAGTATAACTTGGTGAGTAATTATAATCTAATATGCATTAAATTCTTATATTATGTTATGCATAAACGACCAAAAGAAAATGTAATTCATTTCATTAAAACTTTAAATATATTTGTTCCCGTTTTACTTGAGGTATTTACCAACTCAACATTTTTAATAGTCATCACAGGATTATTGTCATACACGAAGATGTCATAAAAAATGTGTTTGAATACACCCTCAAAATTGTACCTGAATGTACCCTCAAATTGTACCTGAAAGTACACATTTACTATTTCTTTTAACTTACACAAGTATATTGCATCTTCTGTCAGTATCATCTGGGGGTAAAACTATAAGACTTAATCATTTATTTATCATTTCATTTCCTTTAAGTTACCTCTTTTTAAAGACTTTAAACATTTATTTTTTTCTTTTCCTGTTCATTTCTTTTTATCCTTAAACTACAACATGCATACAATCATAAAATATGTCTAAAATATTAAATAAATTCTTTATTTAATAAACTTTAAATTTAATATATATATAAGAAAACAATTACTCAAATTAGCTTACAAGAGATTTATGAAATACTTTTCTTCCACTAACTTCTTTTGACAACCACCTATATTAAATTAAATGTGCAAATCATTTGATAAGAATCATATTCTTAAAAGAAATACTAAAAACATACAATTAAAATGACACATAAACAATTATACGATTTCTTACATGAAAAGTTGAATTACTTTCTGCACTTAATTTACACTTTTTTTTACAACTTTAATTGATTCTGCTTCTAATATTCTATCTTTAATGTCTGATCAAATTAAACATGTTATTAACAAGTAGTAAGTAAACCAATAATTTCAATTTAAGCAAATTTACATCATTAAACATTAAATACCAGAAGATTTGGTTCTTACCGTTTGCACATAAAGCCCAATTTCATGTACGAGTTAACTCCCTTCTCCTTGGCATCAAAATCTTCCACTTATGGTTTCAGTTTTAAGTGACTTTGTATTAACACATTTATTAATTAAATTCCCATTCACAAATACATAAAATTTTATCAATTTATTTAATAAAAAAACTAAAACTTTCTTTAAGCCTTCAACTTCTGCCCTAGCTTACATAAGCAAGCCGCACAAGCTTTTTCTTCTCATTTTTCCGATCGGTAAGTGCTCGAACCAGCAGGCGCGCGACTGCTTCCTTCTCTCCTATACACGCACGAGGGCAAGACGCCTATTTTTCCTCTTCCTTCGGTGTGAGCACAACGTTGAACCTTCTTGCTGTACTTTGCATGGTGGCAATGCTCGAAGCCATGACCTCTTCTCTTCCTCCTTGACCGAATCAACCCAGAGCACGACGTCACTGCCTCATTCCTTCTATTCCTCTGCACGCGCGCGATCACAACTTCTTGTTTTCTTTGACTGGGACTAGGTGAGCCTTCGATACTGCTCGACCACTTTCTTTTTCTTCTTTTTTTCCTTCCTCACCTTCGCTTCCTTCACGAGTATCATGTCGAACCGCTCGACTGTTTTCTCCCTCGTTTGATGGTAAGAATGAGGAGACGATCGAATGAGAGAAATATGTCCATCTGAGGCGATGTGTCTCTCTAAGCGGTTGCACCTCTCTTATTATTATTATTATTATTATTATTATTATTATTATTATTTTTGTTATTACAATGAACCTTTTGTGGGGTGGCTTAGCTCTGTAGTTAGGACTTCTATTTTATATTACTTTTTGTATGTTTTTTGTCCATACTCTTTAGCAGGTGTAATCTCTATTCTCTTTTTGGTCTCGATAGAGTCATAAGACTTAGACGTTTCATTCCTTTGGTTTTAAATCCTAGATCATTTTGGAAAATGCAACACATGGTTTGCTGATTAAGTGATCCCCATTGGGTTGGGTTGTTACCTTCACAACTTAGTCATTTGGGGTCTATTTTAAAGCAAGTACAATACCTTTATCATGAATTTTCCTGGTTTTCTACCCAGGATATAATTGACCATGAGGATACGTTGTTGCGGGAGGTCTCTTAAACCTAAGACAAAATAAATTTGATTTTGTATTTTGGTCTAGTTATGAAGGTCTTCTTATAAGATCCTTCTCATATATTTTATCGGGTCAAATATTGTCTGATATACTTTAGACCGCTCTCTTCTCCAATTTATGTTACGAGGACTTTTCTATATAAATATCTTTGTAGCTACGCTTTCGGGTTTTCTCCTCAAAATGTAATTGACAATGAGGATACGTCGTCGTGGGAGGTCTCTTAAACCCAAAATAAAATAAATTTGATTTTGTATTTTGGTTTGGTTATGAAGGTCTTATTATAAGATCCTTCTCATATATTTTCTCGGGTCAAATATGGTCTGATATACTTTAGACCGCTCTTCTCCAGTTTATGTTACGAACACTTTTCTATATAAATATCTTTGTAGCTATGCTTTTCTTTTCTTCTTGGTTTTTTTTCATTTTCAGTCTTACATTCTTCCCTTGTTTTTTTTTTTTTCCGAGAGAGGGTTACCTAGAAAGGAGGATTTGAAAAGGGACAGATACAAAGAAGATCGTTTTCGGTCAAATGTGGGTGCACACACTGGGTTAATATTTTTCACTTATCATTTAGAGTAATGGTTTATTCAGATGTTCAGAATGGGACAAACTTGCTGATCCTATTGAGAGCCTATGGAAAAGCTCCTTGCCCCGGCACTGCCTGACTTGCACGTAGATGTATGTGTAGGCAACGTCTTATAGCTCCTATATAGAACTTGGGCTATGATGTAGCTATGGATTTTCGTGCATGGCTATTATTACTTGGTTTGTGCTCGATGTTGTAACTTCGTGTACTTTTTGCATGCTTTACTAAGGGGTTTTTTGTGCTTTTTGCATGTTTCACTAAATTTGAGACTTACTCATTAGTATATTAGGGTAGATTTTCTTTTACAGGGCGTTGTATCCAACATAGATAAGCTTAATAATAATTTTAACTAATCCTTTTTCTGCAAGTGTTGCTTTGCTCTCTTCTCGTCAGATACGACTTTTTATATGTTGCATGTGATATCCCGTGCTGATTTTTGTTTTTTAGGTTATCTATTTTTTAGGCTTTCTCCATGTGCTTTTTAGAGTCCCTTTAGGAGATGCTTTACTGGAAATAAAGTACGAGCACAAGTCTCTTGAGCTTGGAGCAAGGACCATTTGGAGAAGATCAGAATTTATTTTGCTAGTGGCTTGTACTTTAATTATATATATATATATATATATATATATTATAGTTTTAGGATAAAAGATGTATATGCGAAGTCCGACTGTAATTTTTTTTCATTTTTTGGCAGCTTTTTATTACAGTCAATTGTAATGATGTTTTTGCCATGGAAAATCGCTTGCTCTTTACTCTCAGTTATGATTCCAAGTCCGTACCGAGGATAATGCCCCCATAGTAACCAGACGTTAACACTTTTAATTAAGACAATAACAGTAATAAATTATGTAAAAAAAGGTATGATAACAATAGTGTGTCTATCATTTTATGTGTTTGGTTGACATGAAGTACCGCGGAAGCATTGATTGGTTTAAGTGGTATGTTATTTGATTGCCATGTCTGTTGTACCTTTTTACTTAGTTTATTATTCATTCGAAAGATTTTTTCATTTGAAGTGTGATAGAAGAATGATACTTTGAATGCAGGGAAGGCAATCTTCCTGTTTCTTTCCTCCAGAAATACCTAGTAAAGAAGCTTAACCTTGCAAGTGAGGCGGAGGTAATGCATTTCTGATTCAGATTGATGCTATTATTAGAGTTATTGGTATTATTCATTACCATGTAAGTATTAGATTATGTCTTTAATATTCATAATAGTAATGTTACTTCATGATGATGCATGTGGATGTAAGCCTAGATAGATCTTGCATCTCTTTGTTACACTCGTATTTTACTCCTATTTTCTTGTGTATTTTTAAATGACAAGCATTGAAGTGCAAATATTTACGAAGTTAGCATAACTTAATCAAACTCAGGCTGGCGGTAGGGAGGAAAAACTGCCAACCGCTCGACCATCTATTCTAACTGCTTAAAGTTCAGTTTTTTGCGTGTAAAGTGTTTTTCTTCCGTTTTCAAATACAGCTGACAATATTAAGGTCATGCAGTGCTTTTTTTCATCATAGAGCTGTGTAAGACAGCATTTACCCCTTCCATCCACAACCTTCTCCCTTTCTTCTCTGCTACAAACTCTTGTCACATAACCACTGTAGCTAATTCCGCTGCATTTAAAAAGTTTACCTGAAAAATTCTGTTATGGGACTTACATTAATAAGTCCTATTTTGCTTTTATCAACATTGGAAGTTTCTCCCTCCAACATAGATTCAAATATTATTTTATGCATTTGAAACTGTGTTGAAAATTGTCTACTTGCGTTTATAGAAGTATCCAAGCTGCATGTAGGCTTCTTATGCCGTCTTGTACACACTATTTAAAAAAGATTAAACTTCCATCTGACTCCATCTATCGTTGGGGATATTTGGCTGCTTCCAACTTAGTATTTGAATGTCCTTATCCAACGCTCCAAAATTTCCAATGCAAGAAAGTGTGATGTGAGAGTATTGGTTTGATTCACATTAAATTGTTGGAAAATGTGTTGGTATTTAAATACCAAATGTTTGGCCCTCTTGATACAGCAAAGCTTACTTAACTAGTGGTGTATCAAATCCAACTTTAGTGCTCCTTTTGTTGAACTCTTTGAAAAAGGGTATCGAGGGTTGTTCATTTAATTTTCATTGAGCTTTAACCTCTTCTATTATGGTTTATGGAGATACAAGATCGCGTGGCTCCATGCCAGCTTCATGTGGCTGAGTATGCTTTCCGTACATAATACTTGATTATTTAACAAACATTTAATTGAAAGGGTGTGATTGTTGATGTGGCGAGCTCTCATGCGAGGATGAAATTATTATTGCTCGTGAAATTTTGGGATTAGTCCCACATAAGATAGTTAAAAAATATGATGATGTTGAAATGTTTTTTGGGAGAGGGCACGCAAGAGAGCAATAAAGATATATTTTTTACATTTTTTCTTGCATCATGATTCTAAGCTTTTACTTGATAAATATGATGATGTTGAAATGTCTGTTGGGAAAAGGGCGCGCAAGTGAACAATAAAGATATAATTTTTACTTGTTTTTTTTGCATCGTGATTCTGAACTCTTTACTGCAAGAGAGGTAGATATAACTTTTCTTAGAAATTTGGATTTTATCTATTTTGAAGTTCATTAGCAAAGATTTGGAATACTAAAAGATATCGATTAATCAGGCTTGATTTTTAGCAACTAATTTGAGCAAATTTAAGCTTAGAAAATTTAATTTAAAATTTAAGGAGATTTGGATAACTTGAGAGTTGCATCAAATATTGCTACAGACTCATCAAATTTTCTGCAAAATTTCAGGGATTTGATTAGTGATTTCAAAGAAATAATCTTCAGATCTAAATATACCAATGAGTTGGCTTAATCAATCGTTCGAGTTTCTCAGGTGAAAACATGTCTGAATACTAATATATACGGCTCAAGTTTGGTTTTCTTTTGGTCTACAGTTTCTTATTTAAACTCGGTAACTAGGTTTACATTTTTGTTAGATATATCATGCAGGGATCATGATATATAGGTGAATTTGTTCTTATAACAGGAATTGGTTCTCCATTTTCTTCTTATATCATTTGCTCAATTGATGCATCATGAGCCTTAACCATATATGAAGATGTTCATTTTGCTGAATAGCTTTTGCTTTGCTGCGTGCTTCAAGTTCAATTTCATAAAATTTTCATAGCCTCCCTGAATCCTACTTTTAGCTACGTAGAAATTGTTAGGAACTTTAGCATACATAACACAGTTTTTATGTATTTACATATTTACATATCTAATACCTAAACTTTACTTTTTTCAATTTACACCATCCCAATCTTTCATATCATATAAAAAAAATATCATTATTTTAACTTCTAAAATGTAAAATATACCTTTTCATGCATAGGTGAGATGTCTTATATATGTAAAATTTGAAATTTAGGTGTTTAATATGTAATACATAGGAATTAAGTGGTCTGTCTGCAAATCTTCCAATTTTGTAATTTTTTTTTTTGGCTAATATGTTAATAAAATTTATGCAGGTCGAAATAGCTTGCCAAGGCGAGCTGGTGAGTCCCACACTATCCCTATACGACCTGACAGAACAATGGCTCCGCCATGGGCCTTCTCAAAGGGTGCAGGCTTTAGTCGGTGCTTCAGCTAAGGACTTCGTCATGGTCCTGACATACAGCCGTAAGACCGACTCACCTTGAGCTCTGTTTTAAGCATATATAGCTTTGCTTTTTTTTTCCCTCTTCAATTTGTTTTTATCAGCTTCTCTTTTTCTCTTTGATGGCGAGATTAAATACTAAAAAAAACTACATATATAAGTAAAATAATTGAATTCTTTCTCGTGTGCATGCTAGTTTTCACTCCTCATTTCCATTAAAGTTTGTAATATAATGTCATTCTAGTGTAATCTAAAAGTTTTGATTTATCATTAATAAATCTTTTATGCAATTCTGGAATTGTTGATGTTATGTTTAATGATCAAAATTTTTATGAATATTTAATCACTCATATTGATGCTTGTATCCTTGTGTTGGAGACTCTACACTAGTAAACAATTAGATGTAGATGGTTGAACTGAGGTTCAATATTAGGGTTTGATTGTCTTAAATTCTTGAAGATATTGGAGCAGTACTTATTAGTTATTACCCCATAGTTGACTGATTTGTGGTTAACCAGTTTAACTTTGACATGATGTTGGGTTGAGGGGAACAAAAGGTACAAGAGGCATCTGGCATGCATACTGGATTATATACTACACACTGAAGCCTCATGTAAGAAAGAAAAGTTTTTATTTCCTTCTTTTTTTTTTGTGAATATTTTAGATATTGGTGTAATATAGTAAATTATTTAATAAAAAGAAAAATGTTATTCTCATGATTATTATATTGAGTAATTTTTAAGTATGAAATTAAGAGAATTATGTTAATTTGATAATATTTTTAGTTAAAAACTTAAAATAATTAACATTTATAATATAATTTCTAAACAGTTAGTTTAAACGTTTTAGAAGGATCATATTTTGATTTAGTTTAATAATTAAAGTTTCATCTTATTTTAATGTTAAGAATACTTAAAAATTTTGTTCGGATTAATTTTAAGTTTTTTATTCGGATTAATTTTAAGTTTTTTAATTATTGAGCAAATTGATGAATTAAATATCTTGCACATAGCTGACATATGGTGTTGACGTTTACTAATGATTTGTTAGTTATCTACATGATTGTTTAAAAAAGATAATCAACAAGTTTAGATCTCAAATTATATATTAACCCTAAGACAAATTTTTGTTTGCAACATGAAGTTCTGAAACACTAGAATATACAAATTAGATCTCATGGGGTTCTCCGTAGCCCGGCCTCACTTACCTGACTGCCGCCAAACACATGGAAAGAGACTTTTGTCAGATTCCAGCAACTGGTTGTGGTTGACAGCACCCGACACTAACCCTGTATCCTTGTGAGCAGAATTCGGATAGCCTCTAATTGCCTTGATGCATGCTCATTATTATGGTTTCACTTGAAAGATTTGGGGTTTTCATAATCGAAGTGAACTTCATAAGATGCTGTTTTGTGAGTCATTTGTGTGAAAATGCTCCTTTTTGAGAAGAAGAGTATATCAATGTCAAAATGGTTTATATTTATCACTAATATTCAACAACCATAATTTAATAATGCTAAATTTTTTAAGAATTATTTTTGCTAATTTGTGCATCAAAACAATGATATGTCATCATGAATAAACTAATGAAATCATGATCTATGATATGTTATTCGGATCGTTGATTGAAGACAGGGTCGGTGACGACAATTACAGCTCATTGCGGTTGGTTGAATTAACCCATAGTTAGCTTCATTCGGTCACTGTTTGATGGTGTGATTTATTCTATCCATTATTCTTGCTATAGATCATAGTCTCCATGAAAATTTTATAAGTCAATCACTTAAAACTAACAACAAAATTTATTCACTATCCGCAAGAATTTGTATAGTGATAAACTTTTGATTGATTTTGACTCACAAAAAGTGAATATCACATCAAGTGTATCATCATATTCAAAATCAAATTAATTTTACGCCAGTAAGAACGTGACCTGACACTACAAAATAGAAGTTACAACCAGAGTCCTCTGACTGAAGGGTTGCTACGAAATGACATAATTATATTATGATCACAGTCGCAGCCCTTATGTTCCTCAATGACTTTCTAATATTTGAGTATTGATATAATTGATTGATACAAGTCTTTCTGTCAGCTCAAGTTGACTTAATGTTGTATTCTTAGACAAACATTCACCCTAGATCAACAAGGATTCCTTGGACGATGCAACTCATGATTGTTGATAAGGTTTTTCACACAGGTTGGGTCGACTACCTCTAACTAAGTAGATCAGGGAACTCGATAACCAGAGACAACGGAACCATAGGATCTTGATCGGGTTTGTTACCATTTTCCCCGCCATCCACTTTAAGCTCTAAGTGATAAATTTTGCAATTTAAAATATATGTTAGTTGTTATTATATATGTTAATTATTCAGTGTTAAATGACCAGTCTTAATCGCAAGTGTTCTCTCATTATCGGGAGAGGTAATTAATCATATGGGTTTATGCATATGTGAAACCTTGTACCCTAAATAAAAAAATCTTCACAAAATGAGGGTGAAATCTTTGAGTAGTGTCATATCTACCATTCCATCTGCCTTCTGAAAATTTTGACCTTCATAGCTCTCTCAATAAACAAAACAGAAAAACAATTACAGAGAGTCCGGGGAGCATCCAAATTTTTAGAGCTCACATTATTTAGAGGGTTTAAAGGTCCAATGATTTTTAGGATGATCTAAAAATTATTTTAGCATGTCTCATCTGTAAGACCTGCATTGCAACCTTCATTTATTTAGCAATTGTGTCTAATTGGACCAGCATTGTTAGTTTGTTACCTTCACCTGCATCACTTGTATTGTCCATAAGTCTTATGCCACAACATTCTAAGTTATTGCCATTGTATGCAAGACTTGCTCTTTAACTTTTGCTTGCACTATAGCCATATCCACAAGACTTGAAACATAACTTTTGCTTATATTATATTTGTCCTCCACATGATCTTTCTTGTAACCTCCGCTTACACTGTAGTAGTTTCTTGCAAGATTTGTGATGCAACCTTCATTTATATAAATCATCTTTGCATGAATTGCATCACAACATTGTTTATATCAATCACTATTTAGAGGATTTGTGTCACAAAATTTCTGTCTGTAGCCATGTCTAATAAGGCCTATGTTGTAGCTATCTATTGCATGATCGGTGCATGATCACTTCTTGTAAGAGATTTTGAGGCCGTCTTCATTAAGAGGAGTTCTAACTATCTTCTATAGAATTTGTATTGTGGTCATCTTCTATAAGACATACATTGTAGATACCTACCTTAGATGATAATTTTAACAACTAATCCTTTTGATTTGTTATGAATACTTTGATTATATGAGAAGATTTGCATCCTGTAACTTTTTCATATCAGTAGAAGTTGCCAAGTAAGCAAGGCTCTGTGATCTTTCCCTTCTTGCATTTCCTCCATGAAAAGTTATCTTCATCCTTTAATTACTTAACTACTTGTATGTTTGATATCGAAAAAAAGGCTAAAGCGATTGAGATTAATCATCAGTATATCATATCAATTTTTGTACACATTTGTTTAACATTGTTCATGGTAATTCTTTTCACCTTTGTTGATTACTAATCTTGACATCTAATAATTGTCCGTGGTAGGGATTCAAGCATTCGTTGCCTACACATTAATGACAAAAAAGCTCTTCTTGCTCGATCTCTTATGGAAAATGGAACTCTAATGAAATTACAAAAATAAATTATGATGCCTTATTGAGAAGCAAGTCAAAATTTGGCGGGCAATTAAATCTTCAACCTTCACAATCTCAAAAGATTGTTAATTTCAACATTCCAGGCATGGCTATAAGGCCATGTTGTGCAAAATAATGTGAAAAATAAAATCACACAACAAACAAACAATCCAACACGGTTTGATTTATGTCGTTCGGTGCAAATCTGCCTACGTTTATGGAGATGGGTTATTCCACTAGGACCAAGTGGGGGGAAAGACGACGATTGAAATAGGATTACAACTCCACACCTTGAAAACATCCTTAATCCCTTCTATAAATACGAGAACGTACACTAATAAGAATAGAAAATCATCAATTTACCTCTTATACAAACAAGGCCTCTAATACAACAATTTTCATATCATCTTTCACTTTTAGTTGAGTGATGGTCAAATGAGCCCCGATACCAAAACGACTACACCAAGATTGTTGCCTACGTATCCCCTCTTCAGAAGAGATCAAGCCTCACATAGTTCTTCAAAATGCTTGAATGGCCAATCAATCATGAGCTCGAATTCTCTCCAAACTCTTATAGCATGTGAACATTTGGACTAGTAGTATAGCAAGCTTGAATGGCCGATCAATCATGGGCTTGAATCCTCACCACTCTTATAGCATGTGAACATCTGGACTAGTTTGTTGGATTCTCGTTCATTTCTATTTTCTTTAACAGAACATTGTCGTCATCAATAAAGTTTCAAACAGAATAATATTTCACATCAATTTGTTTGATACATGCACGATGACTGGATTTGTTGCTAAGAATATCACATTCTGACTAACACAGAGACTCGTGATCAACTTCTAAGTTATTTTGCAGGCGATGCATCCACATTGCTTCTCTCATTGTTTCAGGACTGTCATCTACTCAACCTCTGTAGTAGATAAATCAATAGTAGAGTGAAGAATGGATCTCCAATTCAATGGACCTCTTACAAATGTGAATAAATAGTTCTATTCATAGATCTTATGCATATTCATATCACATGTATAATTTGAATCAGTGTGGCCAACACACAACTCATCAATAGATGACTATCTTTCAAAATTCAAGTCGACATTAATTGTACCAGACACCTTAGAATACTCTTTATAGCCTACCAATGACTCCATTATAGATCATATATGAACATGTTCACAACACCAATTGCTTGTGCAATATCTAGTCTAATACAAAATCATCATACATATGACTGGTCATTGCATTAGCATACAGAATTGATTGCATATCTTTCTTCTCTTGACATCTTTAGTAAACTAATTTGAATTCAACTGAAAGTGAGACATGATGGTTAGACTCACCGTCTTGTGCGAGTCATCAACCTTAAAATTATTTAGTACCTTTTGAACATATACTCCTTGCAAGAGCCAAATCTCTCTAGTTGCATTGTCCTTGAGACTTTATGCTAAAAATTTTTTGAGCTTCACCCAATTCCATTTCGAAATGTCTGCTCAATTGCTTCTTTATCCTATCAACCTCAGTTTGATTACTAGATGCAATTAACATGTCATCAACAAATCGAAGCAAGTAGATGAATTCGTCATTGACTAACTTTTTAAAATATACATAATAATCATATTGCCTCCTCATGTACTTGTGGTGAATGCTTCAACCCATATATCATTATGAACTGATTAAACTTATATCTTGGTGACTTCTTCTACCCACCATTGGCTAACATCTTCGTATTGGCCCCTCATGTACTAAGCTATTAAAGTTCCTTCATGAACTGATCAAACTTATTATATCACTATCATGGTGACTGCTTCAACCCATATAAAAACTTGTCAAGCTTCAAATCAAGCCTTTTAAGACAACTACAATATATAGATTTTCTCTTATAATTCTTTGTATAAGAACACAATCTTCACATCAACTTATTCTAAAATCAAATCGTACTATGCTATAAGTTCTAAGAGAATAATGATTGGGTGATGCTTGACCACTAGGGAGAACACTTGAGCAAAGCCTGTTGCCACTAATCTTGTCTTATAACGCATATTAGCTCTACGAGATCCTTCTTTGCATACACCTATTTGCACTCAATGGCTTTCCTATCCTGAGGAAGCTTCATCAATCTCAAGATTGCATTCTTTCGAAGAGACTAAATCTCTTCATCCATTGCCCATCTTCAAGGATCATCATTTGAGCTCTCCACATCTTCCTTATAGTAATAAGGAGCTTTAGTCTTTGCGATCGAAAGTGCAAATGCAATGTGAGCCCTCAACTAAGATGGTTTTGAGATATTCTTGCACCTTGTCCCACTCCTAGCTATAGATTTCTGAGTTGGGAGCTCATCCTTAACATCTTCTTCCACCTCCTCTTGAGCACTATTAACAAGTACCTTCTAAGCTGCAACTAGATCATGCACTTATGTAGGAGTTGACGAACTTTGTAGAACAAATAGAGTTGCATCAAACTCTAACTTTTGTTGCATACCTATGGTCCTGTTAGAGCTCTCCACCCGCTTCAAGTCTTGAGGTTTCAACAAGATCGCCTCGTCAAATGCAACTTCCATACTAAGGACAATCTTTCTCTCTGTCTAATCATAAAGTGAAGCTCTTAACTCCACTTCTGAAGCCAATGAAGATTGAATTCCTTGAGCATGATTCCAATTTGTTTTTTTTTGCACTTGGCACACCCCATGAGCTTATAATTTCTAGCAGGATGCTCCAACCATGTCTTTCGGGATATTTTTCCCACTACCTGGAGAAGACAAACAGTTCACTAAGTGGCAAACATGGTCTTTGACTTTGGCTTAGTAAACTCTATCTAGCCTAGCATTGGATAACATATTTCAAATTCTCTTCGCCAAAGTCTAGTTTGTTCTCGATGCCACATCGTCCTGCTGTGGTGTTTCTCGAATAATTGAGTGGTGCACTATCACAACTCTATAACACTCTTGCAAGAACGCATTTGATATGTCTTTTCCTTCATTGTTTGATTTGATGCATCAATTTTTTTTACTATTATGAGTTTCAATTCACTTCTTCCAAATTATGAAAGTCTTCAATACCTCGCTATGCGCTTCATGGTGTCCGGTAAAGCATACTTGGAGTAATCATCAATAAAAGATACTATCCTCATATGTTGAATGATCTTGTTTTTGTCGAGCCCCAAACATCTATATGAACATACTCTAAAATATCATTTATACTATAGATGACAATACCAAAGGATATATGTGTCTTCTTATCAAACACATAATGTTCATATAAATCGAGCTAACAGATGCTCACTCATTTGATCAATTATTGCTTCACCAAAGTCTGAAGTGAAGCTTCTTCAGTATGAGCTAGTTGCTTGTGCCACAATATAGTGGTGTCAGAAGAATCATTAGCAACAACATTCTCTCCAGTCATTATACTACCCTGAAGATAATAGAAGTTTTTTTTTTTAATGGTGAACGTCCTTCATAAAAATCAGTGCTCTATGACATATCCTTAGCTCCTACCTCAATAACTACGCTGTAGCCCTTTGCATCTAAGGTGTCAAGGCAGTGAATTCTTCCTGATATTCAGAACATGTTTAACATAAGTCAGCTCTCTCCCAATAATATTATGCATCCTATTAAAGACGGTCATTGAACCAATATTATGACAAGCTTGATCATTACCCACAATCACTGCACCACTATCAAGCTCCTTGTGCATACAAAATTACTCTTAATGGGAACATATGTGATAAGTAGCACATGTGCCCATAATTCAACACGAAACATCTGTATGCAAACTGTGAGAAGCTGCATATAACAATACACTTGAATATGCTTCATCACACCTCTTCACAATAAGATTGGTTTTCGCCTCAAAAGAAACTCTCTTTCCCCTTTCCTTTAACTTCGGACAAAATTTCTTTCAATGGTTAATCTTCAAACATAAAGCACATTGATTTTTTTCATGACTGCACCCAAGAGATTTGTCCTGCTTTCGAGGTCGTTATCACTATTCTTCTCCCAATTCTTTTTCATTTTAAATCTGCCACATTGGACTGCAAGTGTCTTAGTCGACGATATCTTTGCGGACTTCTTGCACCATTTGATAGAATTCATGGTTCAACAACGTCGTAGTCACCTCGTTATAATTCAAGAAATTCCCATGAATGAGTGTCATTGTGAAGTTTTTGTACTCATCGGTGATGAATTCAATAAAAGAAGTGTCTTATCTTCATCTTCAATGTCCTCATCCTGATTTAATAGATATATCAAAATCTTTGTAATATATATCCATCATGTGCTCATTAATAGTAACCTCACATCTTATTTAAAACCTCTAGAGTCAACACTTCATATGGATATGATTCTTCATGTTTTTTTCCGTCATCGTCCACAATTGATTTCACCCCATATTTGCTCCTAAGATAAGTAATTTCAGATCAAGTCACAAGCACTCTGGTTCATCTTCAACCAATTTTTTTTTTATATCTCTTCAGGACATTTATTACTATCAAGAACTTTATCTAGATTCAACACAACACATTCATCATCTTCCATCGCCTCATGTCGAAGTTCTCTTTTGATGTCAAATCTCATCACATCAATCTTGACGGGATGTTTAACAAACTGATGAATCAACTGATGAATGCAATTATTCATGGCTCTACCAGATCTCGTAACCCAACTTGCTCTGATCTTCTTATCTTACATCAACGACTTTATCGAAATCATAGCCACACATCGCTGGTTAGCACCAATCTGGCTCTAATATATTTGTTCAAAACAATGCGGAAAACAAAATCACGCAACAAATAAATAATCAAACGGTTACTTTACGTGATTTGGCGTTAATCCGCCTATGCATGAGGAGGGGTTATTTTGTTATCAACAGGCGGGGATAAAGAAAAGACATTTGAAATAGGATTACACCTCCACTCACTAAAATCAGTCATAATCCTTCTTATAAATAAGAGAGTTTTATGACAAACTTGATAAAAATAGAAAATGCCCAATTTATCCCTTACAAAAACATAGCCTCTAGTACAATATGTGGCACTCTCTGATTATAGTAAGTAGAATTTTAGTTTGTATTTTCCATCACAGTGCATCATGGTCCAATGGGTGACCATCCTTTGTGATTGTGTGCATCATATTCATAAGGCATTGTTAATGTGCAACCATCAAGGCACCGTCATGATAGTTCAAGATTTGTATTAAATTGTTAAAAATATATATAATAAAAATTCAATTCAAAAAATCAAATAAGCTGCTCTTGGATGATCAATTATATACATCATGAAGGTGAGGCGCTTTCATTTTTTTTCTTTTAGAATCTTCAGTTAAAAAAAAATATTTATTTCCATTATCTTACTCCCAAAAAGATTGTGGTATTTGAGATCCATTTTTTAGGATGTGTTTGGGGCAGCTTATGTGTTGCAGGATAAGCAAACGCGGCCTGTGAGTCGACTGCGGAGTTCGACCCATCGCAAGCGTTTAGTGTAAAAATCCAACCGCATTTTCAGATAAACAGGCAAAATATGGGAACCAAACGGTTCCGCGGCGTTTTCAAAAGTGTCACCAAAATTATAGCTGCCCTAAATGGGTCCTTGATTCGTCGGCTTAATTTTCTCCACACAAAAAAGCTTCAGTATCACTACTGATAAGAACTAAGAAACTCGCATTACTTTTTTTTTTCCTTTTTTCTTTTTTTGAAAAATTATAAATAAAGTTTTATAAACAAGTAATTTTTTATGATTTTCTCAACAAGTGTAACTATAAGGCAATGTTATCATCAGCATTTTTTTAAAATTCTAAATTAAATATATATGTATATATCTTATTAGAATTAATGCTTTATTTTCAAGGGATTTTTACCACATTCCACCCAATTATCATGTATTTACATATTGAACATCTAAACTTTATTTTTGTATATTAATGTCATCCAAATCTTTCATATCACATTATAAATATTACTATTTTAACATTTGAAAAAGTGACATACAAACTTGTAAAATTATATGTGTGTGTATTCGGGGCGTGAGGTCCCCATCCTGTAGTTTATATATATATATATATATATATATATATATATATATATATATAGATATATATTTTTTCCCTAATTTACACACACTCACTTACTGAAGTTTAAGGGTTTGTTTAGGGCAGATGAAGCTGTGAAGCTGCTAGGAAGAATGTTATGGTATGACTCATATACCATATAGGGACAAACGCTGGAACGAAGCGGAGGGGAGCAGAGCGAATGAATCTGTCCAAATTGGGAAGTTACGCTATGTGAGTTGGGGGTGTTGGGTCAACGCCCCGCTATACGGTACAGGGGTAATTTGGGAATTATATATTGTACTGTAGGGTTTACTCTAGGATTATAAATAGACCTGTTTGTAATCCTAGGTCTTTGAGAGAGTTGAATTTTGTATTCTGTATTCTTTTCTGAATATTGAAAAGGAGGTCGCCGCTCTGCTCCCGAGGACGTAAGCATCTTTGTCGAACCTCGTTAAATCTCTGTGTTCTTCTGGATTTGTGTCGATTACTGTTTTCTTCGCCCTTATTTTCTCAACAAGTGGTATCAGAGCCAGGTTTCGAGGGCAAGAAAGAAATTTCACCGCGCGAGGAAGAAGATTCGGCGGCTTTCAGGCTTGGCGCAAGGGTCTTGCGACAGGAAAGACGTGCGAACGAATCCTGTGTGCTTCAGGTTGTGTGATTCAGGCGACGCAAAGGGAGGCGTTCACGATGGAGTTCGAAGGAGCAGATTTCGCAGATCCTCCGCAGCTTCGGTGACTCGGAACAGACCGTAGATCTCGCGACTCGGAACAGATCGAGATCGCTACCAGGATCTGTTGTGCAATAGGGAGGAGAGGCAGAAGCGGAGGAATTCGCTATTTCCATTCCTGTCGGGAGAATCTTGGATTTCTGGAGAAGAGCAGTTTCGCGAATTGGAGATTTTGCGGGCAGGAGGCATCGCGCAGAAGGTCTGCTTAAGGAATCTTCTCTTTTTACTAGAGGAATATTCCATCTTTGCTGCTTCCAAAGGAATTTCTTCCGCGTGCTTGATTGGAGAGGGAATTGAAGTCTGTTGCATTGAAAAGGGAAGCAAGTTAAAGGCATTTAATTAAGGGAAGCTTAATTAAATAAATTTAATGAAGTAAAATTCCTTAATTAATTAAGGGAAAATATTTTTTTTTTCAAAACAAAAAAAAAAATTCTCTCTTTTCTTCTTTCCTTTTTTTTTTAAAAAAAAAGGTTTAAACATGGATTTTTGCAGAGGAATTTTTTGCAGAAAAGTTTTGTTGCGGGATCAAAATTGTTCGCAAGGCGGACGGGCTCGCGGGAACGAACAGGTGCGAAGCAGTTCGGATAAAGGGCTACGGCAGTTCGGCGAGTTATGCTTCGGGGAGTTCGCGGTAGAGACGGCGCCGCGATTTTGAGGCGCGACATTTCATGAACCTTCGCGGCATTAGGCGAGGTGGCGTTCGCGAACAGGAGTTTGTGTGCAGTTACCGCGAACAGGAGCATTTGCAAACAGAGGAGTTTGGTGGTGTTCGACCAGCGGAGTTTGCAAGTTCGTCGCAAGTGTAGTTTGCGACAGGTGGAGTTCGGTAGGGTGCTGGTGAGCGAGTAGATGCGATTATTAGCGAACAGTGGTTTCGCGGAGGTATTTCGCGATTATTCGCAAACAGTGATTTCGCGAAGGTATTTCGCGAAGGGTTTCGCTCACGGGACAGCAGTTTAGCCAAGGTGCTGGCGCGAACAGGAAAAGTGCTTCAACCCACATTTGTGCATAAGAAACTCCATGATATATTTCTCCTAAGGGGCTGGATATTTGCAAGTGGAGATTTTCTCCTAAGGGACATGATATTCGCAAGGTGGAGATATTTCTCCTAAGGGGCTGGATATTCGCAAGGTGGAGATTTTCTCCTAAAGGGCAGGATATTCGCAAGGTGGAGATTTTTTCCTAAGGGGATGGATATTCGCAAGGTGGAGATATTTCTCCTAAGGGGCAGGATATTCGCAAGATGAAGATATTTCTCCTAAGGGGCAGGATATTCACAAGGTGAAAATTTTTTCCTAAAGGGCTGGATATTCGCCAATGTGGAGAATTGTTAGGTATGACTCTTAATACCAGAATTTGGTGTCTCTTGGAATTGAAGAGGTGTGTCTCTTGGAATTTAGTGGGTTGAGATCAGTGTGGGCGCAGCAGAAGCATGATGGCCTAACCCACATTGGTGCAGGTATAACTCCCATGTATCTTTTCTCCTAAGGGGCTGAATATTCGCCAAGGTGGAGATTTGTTATGGTATGACTCATATACCATATAGGGACAGACGCTGGAACGAAACAGAGCGGAGCGGAGCGAATGAATCTGTCCAAATTTGGAAGTTACGTTATGTGGGTTGGGGGTGTTGGGTCAACGCCCCGCTATACGGTACAGGGGTAATTTGGGAATTATATATTGTACTGTAGGGTTTACTCTAGGATTATAAATAGACCTGTTTGTAATCCTAGGTCTTTGAGAGAGTTGAATTTTGTATTCTGTATTCTTTTCTGAATATTGAAAAGGAGGTCGCCGCTCTGCTCCCGAGGACGTAGGCATCTTTGCCGAACCTCGTTAAATATCTGTGTTCTTCTGGATTTGTGTCGATTCTAGTTTTTCCTCGCTCTAGTTTTCTCAACAAAGAATAAGTTGATATTCAAAATGCTTTGATGGTTATTATAATTTTTTTTTTTCAATTAGGCGACCACAGTTTTTCAGCAATCACCGTACTTAGCCAGATGAGGTTATAAAACGTAGTTTTTTACTACAGTTTTTTCAAAGAAATAGGTAAAATATTACTTTGTCAAAAACCAAAAATTATCATGTGGCGCCGCACCGAACACCCTAAGCGTTACATATGTAAATACATAACGTAAATACATAAGAAATTAGTGGTATGTATGTAAATCTTCCAATTTTGAAACAATGTCTCATGGTCACTTCAAACTTTAATGTGGTAAGCATATTCGAACAACAAAGAAAACCATAAGATGATGCCAAAGCTTGTAGCATCAACATTTTACTTTCTATTTGTTGGCATCTAGTCCATTATCATTAATTTTTTTTAACATATTGTTCTGACACTGCATAGGTCAATATGTTTATTTCATCATAACATATTTTCCATTAATTAATCCATCAAATCAACGGCTAATTTAGAATATATTAGATTATGAAGATCTAATGACAATATTTAATCCCTTAAATCTCAATCCTGCAGGGGCTTCAGAAGCATCCATTATACAGCTAATTACTTTGATAAAATATCTCATCCCTTTGGTTTTACTTATTATTTTACTAAGTATAAATCAATCAAACTTATATTATTAAAAAACAGCCTACGTCGACGTCTCCAACGTTCTGTTCTACTTTAATTAAATCGTATTTTAGCACTAGTTAATACTATGATTTGTATTAAAATAAAATACATAAATTAAAATAGTCCACATAGGGGACCATAATGGGGAGCAATGACTAGTGAGTGTTGATATGCTATGATTTGGACCCGTTCTCTTTATTATTGGCAAGTGGGCAAATTTAATTTATATAAAGCTAAACGAGCTCACGAGCCTGCTTGATTAGTCTATTGCTAGTCATTTTGATGCATTTTCTCCTCCTCGAGCCATCGATGTTTTTTTTAGGACGAGCTCCTGTAAAAGTTCGAGCTGGTGAGCCGGAAGCTAGCACTACGAGCGAAGCTCGAGCTTGCAATTTGGTAAACTAGCCGAACTTGATAATGGCATGGCTCAAGCTTGACGCGACCCATCTATAGTCCTAATATATAGGAGAGCACTCAATTCTTTGGTATCACATCTCCAATAGCATTAATTATCAATTTTTAAATATTTAAATCTACATTTTCATGCACAGGTAAAGTGTTATATGTAAAAATGTGAAAGTTATGACGTAAATATATAAGAATTGGGGGCTACGAACATAAATTTTTCTTTTTTTTTTATTCGTATGCATTTACATATAAAACGTCTAAACTTTAATTTTTACATATATATCATTTTGCTCGTGCATGAAAATGTATATTTTACTTTTTTTTTTTAATTAAATAGTGATTTTTTTATATGTGGTATGAAAGATTTGGGTGGTATAAATAAAAAAAAATAAAATTTAGACATTAAATATGTAAATACATAAGAATTGTATGGTATGTATGTAAATACTTATTTATAATCAAGGAATTTCTCTTGAATAAGCGTCTAAGTGAAAAGAATGTATTTAACATTAATTATGGTTAAATTTTGAGCGTATTATAAATTGGAAAATGTTTGGCTAAAAATTATTGAATTAAGCTTAAACTTCAAGATAATTTTTTTTTGCTGTCATTGGTAGTCCCAAGCTCGGATGTGAAAAGTGGAGGGTTGCGTTAGGTAGTCGACAGCCAGCATAAAACTTGTTGAAAAAATCGTGACATGAGAATTTAAGTTTTTTAATATTGTTAAGAAAACTTGCATCTTAAATTTAATATAATTTGGAATGTTCTAAGTATTAGGTAATGTGGAGACCCGGTCAACCGCAATTTGATTAACTGTTGTTAATTAGATTCG